GGGCAGCGATGTCAAGTAAATCATAAAGTATTCTCACATTCCATCTGGTAGTGCACCTCTACCAAGTGTAAGTATGTATCATCTGATCTGCACTATCAACACCTCCCATTGTCGCATTGTATTGTTTTATCACATTTGGTTTGTGTACACTCACAAGTTTGCCATCCTTTCCCCTCACTTGCTCCTGAACGGTGTACAACTCTTTAGCATTATGCATCGTCGTCATAATGAGCACCAACTTCTTCTTTTCGTTATAGTAAGAAAGCAGTTTGCATACACCTTTTGTATACACTTCTGTTGAATCTGCCTCTCTTGTAGTAGCCTTTTTATCATCATTGGGGTCATAACGTTTGATTTGCTTGGCTTCTTCTGGTACCTCAACTCTGTTTTTTCGCACAGTCCCAAGCAATGTTGAACCATATTGAGCCAAATAATGTGCCAATCTTAAGCTACAGAAAAGTTGTCACATACAACTGTCACAAACTTTCCCATACACAATTGTGGAGCTACCATATCTATCGTCACCCGAAATCCTTGATTTTCTTCCTTCTAGTCGCATTTTCCACAGTACATCTGTAGGTTTATAACCATACCACTTTCACAATCACAGCACATCTTTTTGTTATTCATTGAACATATTATCAAACACAATATTAACAACAAGTCAATTACCGATGTATATGTCTCAACACCGTGAATCTCCGACTTCATTTATTATTCTTACAACAAAAAAAAAACAAACCCAAAACTTGATGCCGTAACGCTGAGGTTTGGACTTGATGAATACCTTTGCCCATATCTTTCCCTTGAATGCGCAAAGGTGTTCATCAACCGATTGTGTGGTGCTCGGTGTAAAGTATTTGTTGTTCACTAAGTTGTGAATAAAAGCTTCCAACACTTCCCTAATTTTGCCAAACTTGTCATTTGAGTTTGGCGTGTTTGATGCTTTGATTAACCCCTTTTCTATAGTCTCTTCATCATTTACTTTTTGTCTCACTTCAACATCCTTTTTTAGCTTCTCTTCGGTCAGGTCAACAGGATGTTTTTTGACCCACTCATCACAACTCAAATAGTCTTCTTCTTCAGTCTCTTCTTTATTCTCTGGATTTGCCTCTTCATCGGATGCACTGTCCTCACTCTCTTCTTCATCACCTATAAAACAACTCTCTTTCTCAACTTCATCCTGAAAAGTTGTGACATCGTAAGTCTCGATGTTAACATTGATAAGTTGAAAAACATTTCTGGGCATAGCTTTACCATAAATATTTGGTTTCCCGTGTTTTTCGTTCCAAAGCTCGGAAATTGGATTCTTTATGTCGTGGTGTGCTCCCATATATAGTAAAATGCCGAAATATCGTATAATGTCTATTTTTGTTATTTGGGATTTACCTTTTTTTCCTGATAATTTGGCGTTGGTAAATGCTGTTATTTTTTCGACTAAATTTTCGTCAAAAAACCCAAAAAACAAGTCAGAAGCAGTCGAATTACAAAATTCTGCTTTATAGTCAGCACCCACCTTCGCAACCTTCCTTTTGAACTTTTTCTTTTCTTTGTTGATGGGGCCCATTGCTTTCCACTTGTAGTCACCAACAATCAAG